ATAAATAAATAAATAAATAAATAAATAAATAAATAAATAAATAAATAAATATTATATATATAAATATTATTTATATATATAAAATATACTCATAGAATCCTATCTCTAGAAAAAAAATGGAAAATAATAATAAAACTCCTTATGTCCTTACTTATTGTCTTGACCAATAACTCGCCTCTTATCAGGAATTATCGACTTAACCTTCATCAGACTGCTATATCTGGTTGTCTGATCGGAGGATCAACTAGGTAAGGTTAATAGTCCCTAGAAACTTATATTCGGTTGAGCCATCTCGCTACCGAAGTATTCCGATATAAATAAAGTTGGAAAGTAAATATAGTTCTATTAATCGAACTAGACTAACTCTTATGTTTTGTAATTTACTGGGGCCTTTTAATGGCCTCGTTCAAATATCTGATATGTAAAATAGAAAAGGTATTGATTAATAAAACCATTAAAAACAATTTAGGAAACTTAAGTTCCTCGTACTATCAAGAGTACGTTTATAATTTACGTACTGCTTAAGAGTACGTTTATAACATAAAGTCTAATGTGGAGGCCCGAATATTACAGCTACAGGTATCAGCGACATGGCCTCGTCTAGAACAAATAGTACAATTTACAGAAGTAGTAGTCTGCGTGCATGTTCTAGCGGTATGGCGTTTTTGGCAGCATCGACCGCAGCCCTTAGGACAGGTAGACGACATGTGAGCTGAACTCCAACAGAATTAGCATTTAAGAGTATGAAGTGTACGAGGCGCCGGATTGTGCTGTTGGGGTTTCAAATCATTGATTAATCGTACTAGGTCGGCGATAGTAAGTGATGTCGTGACAACATTAACCGTAGGTAGTAATGGGGCAGCTTGGAACGATCTATGCCAAGTTTCGAGGTAGATACATAGGTCTTCGATGTCAGCAAGGAAGCGTTCCTTAAGATGAATCAGGTAGATATTCCAAAACTGGTTCTGATCAGCCTGGCCAAGACCGGAAATATATAAATTATGTTGACAGTAGAACTTAATGTAGTATCTTGAGATTTAGTATTTTCGATGACAGTGTAGCATCGATTTGCCCATTGGCGAATTGATTCAGTGGTGCCGCGTTTCAAAGCTGCTAAGAATGCAGCATCGACGATGCCGTGAACCAATTTAGACTGGTGTTCAAATTTAGATTTCAGGAATGCAAACAGGTTCCAGGGATGTTCTCACTTGATGGTTTTTGCCAACGATAGTCGCAACGCAGGGTCCAGAGACGAAATGAGAAGAGTCTTGGCCTTTGTGTTGGTATATGTCATTGGCTCGCGATGTGGTAATGTAGGTTTCAATTTCTATCATATAGTTTTGAAAGTCATCCTGTTCAGCTTTAGGAGTGTTGATGATTTCACTGCGTATAGGTTTGATTATATGGTTGGTCTCATCTTTAGGGAATTTCTGTTCATAATAGAGAGTGTTGGTGAGATCGTCAGTATACTGAGAGAACATAGCAAGTTCCATATCTTATTGCCAGAGATCTATGTTGGATCCGAGGATGGTCCAGGACACCGCAGTGCCCTTAACGGTAAATTGAGCGCTAGAAAGCATGATATGTGGTATAGAATATCAAAAATAGGCCCATAACCTAAGAAGATCTACCAAACTTGTTACGCAAAAGAACACTTTATTGTATCCAGGCTTCTGATTCAAGTAGTACGGTCAGTAAACAAAGATTCATAGTGGCCATGTGGGTTAAACCTAAGAAATAGATAAAAACCAAGTGTTAGAGTTTACATATATGGAACGAAAACTAAGTTTAAGTCCAAAAATGTTTTTTTTTCATAGCTAAATATTTATATTATTATAAAATAAATAAATAAATCGACAACAAATCGACTATACAATTCGAAGTATTTGGTGGGCGCTTATACCAATAAAAACAAGGAAGAACATATCCTCGAAAATAAAAAGGCGGGCAATAATGAATTATTAGTAAAAAAAGTTATGTGGGTATGGCGAGAATGGTCGGCTTTGGATGCACGTATGTCGTCGTATGATGTACTTATAGATATCCGATATGTGTGACATTGGATTGTGGAAAATAAATAAATAAATGCATGACTTCTCGATGAACTATTAAATACTATGAGTCTGCTTACGTGCCCGAATATCAATAGCGACATACATACATACATACCAACGACAACCAATCATACAACAATAGATCATACACAACAATCATAGGACAGCAATCATACTAGTCATTTCCATATATAAACCTGACTAGTTTCACGTAGCTAGGTCGCCAACGCTACAAGCATATCATATTTAAATTCCGCCACCAGATGCAACACACCCTGGTGCAAGTCTGTGAGGCGAGTATTTAGCCACTTTCGTCGAGGTGTATGTAAATAGTGGGATTTGGGAGCCACAATACGCCTGGAAATACTCAATTTGGGCATAGTAAGATTTGGTTTGTGGATATAAATACTCAAATACACTTAAAACATTTACACACCATAAAGATCCCTTGTCTATACCTAGACATCGGTAACTGTAATTTTATAAACAACGATTCATAGATACAAATATCCCATCAAGGACAATACCAGTGTTGTGATATACAAGTGTTTCGATACGAGACTGTATCTGTTGTTCTATATATATTCAGGTATATCCTACAAACGACAATACATGGACAAACCACCGAGATAATCTCACACTGAACTACACAATCATGGCTGCTGTGTGTCTTAAGAATGTCACTCCGACAGCCAACCCGGCACCTTTCAACTCCATGTTTCAATTTGAAATCACATTCGAGTGCTGCAAAGATATAAAAGATGGTATGTCAACGTTTATATAGCAATAGGAAGTCTTTTATATGCACATATTTATCGTGTATATGTCCTAGTCGTCCTAATAAATGTATCACCTTCGTTTGTCGCAAAGAGATAAATAATTGCATTTCAAGGTTTGCTATTATATGCATGTACAACGTGTATGAGTTTGAAATGTCAAAATGCATATACCACCTTTGCGTGCTGCAAAGGTATATAAAATGGAATGGCGATGTTTGTTGTTGCTCTGATTATGGCGATAAGCAGTCCTTTGCACACACATCTGATATTATATGTGAGTTCTAACCATTTTATGAATATACTAAATATCCTGTACAAAATGTAGATGAAGCTCTCATACAGATACTTTGACCTGATGTTAGGCCACATCTTGCGTGTAGTTTTACGCCTTCGAATATATCGCAGAGTTTACAAATGTACACCTACCGGGTGGATAACATCTCCGCAGTGCAGTACAATTCGGAAAAGCAAATATCCACCACTCGTTACCAGAGTGTCGTTATTAAGCACATTTTGCACAGACATCTAGCCATAATGCTGAGCAACAATAATTGTGACTCGTACTTGTTCTCTATCTTGAACGATAAAATTTATGCACCTCTGGTACCTTGATTCGGGCTAACAACTATTCTTACGTACGTGCGGATAGAAAATATATATACCGTGTTAAAAGAATATAACAGACATTCTATCGCACTAAAACTACAGTCTTTGCAGCTACAAGTGCTAGAAATTACATTTAAGTTAGGTATTCGCAGTATATTGTACTGAATCGGAGTTATAAACGGCCACGAAACAATGTTGAGAATTTAATACACACACACACACAAACAAACAAACAAACACACAAACACAAACAAACACACAAACAAACACACACACACACACACACACACGCACACGCACAACAAAAAAAATACACACACACACA